TGTAAATTCTGTACATTCTCTTACCATTCTCATTATTACTATTATTATTATTTTCTCTTATTAAACTATCTCTATCTAAGCCCACGGTTCTAACCTTTTTTTTTCTTCCTGATTCTCTCCCCCATCCCACTGAGGGAGGGGGAAGTGAGCGAGTGGCTGCGTGGTGCCGAGTTGCCAGCCGGGTTAAACCATGACAATATATCAACGTGGCTAGGTCAGGTTACCTAGGCATGGGTGTTTGCTGTCAGTGGGAGGGGGATTTGTTGACACCTCTGGCTTGCAAAGGGATCAGGAACCGAAGGCTGACCCCCTCGTCTGATCTTTCTGTTCCAGATCCAGCTACAGGTAAAAGTTATCCTTGACAAATAACCCAAGTAAAAAATGTCAATTTACCTCTTGAAGGAGGTAAGACTGAAATTTGTTTTAGTTTCTAATAGCCAAGGGCAAGAACATTAATGGCTTAGAGTAAATGCCTTCCTGCAGTCATAAATTCTGCTTCTTGGGGGATAAAGGATTTGGAGGATGATAAACAATCTCAAAATTCCTTCTTTCTTTTACTTTAAGTGCAAAATGCTACTCTGTTGAGTCAGCTGCATCAATCTCGGTGGTGGTTTTCCATTTGTTGTATCCAACAACCCATCAATATCATCCCTAAATGAATGTTTCATTAAGGAATGCAGACAGAAATGGGAGGCAGCAATTATTTGACTAATTTAGAGCTGGAACATTTCACCCAGCATCTTCCAGGAAAAGAATGACTGTAAGGTGTGACCTCCATATCACTTAACCTGGAGATTTTTCTTGAGCCAAAGCCCATCTTCAGCTCTCGGTGTTTTTTACTGATGAGCATCGCAGGTGCAGTCCCCTTCCCAAGGGAGGGCTTCACCCAGTAATATTCCTCCAGCAGTGGGTCACAGTTGACCATAATGATGCTACTGTTTGTGGGGGGGTAAGACCTCTCAAAAAGAAGCCCAGGCAGACTTTCTCATCTCCAGCTGTATTGGTCCATTGCATTGGTCCGTGTCCAAATCAAGCGATGGGGCACGGCTGTGGCTTCCTTAAAGTGTGTTATTAATGGTTATGTCAGCATAACCATTCAAACAGCAACCTGTTGCTTAACTGTGAGAGAAAGCACCCTGATTATTTTAATGGTTTTTTTTTTTTCTCCAACACCTGGTGTAAGAAATGGCAAAAGAAAATTATTTTGAGGCAATGGACTGAAAGCTGCCCATCAGTGGAGTGCATGATGGGAATCTGAGGATGGCGTGTAGCAGTGCTGCAGGCTCGCTCTTCTGGAGCGTGAAGCATGCCCATGTCCCAGATCAAAGGAAAATATACGGATGAACTTGCATCTGCTGGATAAAATAATGATGCAGATAAAGCTAGGTCATGAAACCACCTGGTGACTTTGTCTCATGCTTTCAGGTTTTATTTTTTACATCATTAGGCATGCATGACTTAGCATGCCATTTTTGGCTGGATAGACACTGCCATGCGTGACCGGTGCTTCAGAGCTTGGCTGCAGCTCTGAGTATTAGCATAACCCCATCCCAGGCAGAAAAGTTGCTAAGATGATGGTTTGTTAGTGCAATCTTTTTTGCTCTTGCATGTCTCCGTTGTTAAACCAGACCTCTTCTATAATTTGTGGCACGATCTCCTGCACAGACGGAAACAGCCAGTGATGCGTACTCAGATTTAGTACCTTATACCTCTTCTGAAATATTTAAATGAGAAAGCTCTCTGCAGTAATCTTTGAAAACAGACTGCCACATTGTATGAAGACAGCAATTTTCCCCTCCGAAATCAAATGATCCTAGAAAAAAATCAGAAAGATGATGTGGAGGAACTACAGTCAATTCACTCTTTAAAAAATGGGTTTGTAGTTTGATGTTCCCTTACCAGGACCTGAATAGCGTATTCAGATAATAGCTGGATATAAATGCTAGATATAATTGCTAGATAAAAATGCTGAGAACATCTTAACAGCAAATTGTACTCTTGGGCTTGCCCAGACACACATTCTAAAAGGAAATGATTGCTATAAACCATTTTGCACTTAAACCTTTGTGCTTTCAGTTCTTGGAGGCTGCTTGACAAAATGGGGGGGGAAATCAGTGAATAACTGAAGTCAGCTCCCAAGCGAGCTCAGACACAGGGTGCAACTGAAGTCTTCCGTAGTCATTACGTACCTGGGGATTACCCTGATCATCATCACCGTCACTGTAGTTGAGCTGGCTGAGAAACAGTGACTGCTCGTGGTTCCTTCCCTTTTTGTTTCCAGCAGTTGCAATTATTTTCTGACATAGCTTTGTGATAAAAATCTTGTTCCTTCGATTCTTTCCCAGCCACTCTTTTCCTTCAAGCAGCCTTCGTCTCAATGTTTGATGTCATTTCAAGGTACCTAAAATAATGAGGAAGGTGCAAATGTGCACCACAATCAGGCAGGACCCTCTCCTGGTCAAATTGATCCTCTGGTGGTTTCACGCAGCCAGCCGGAGCTTGCCACGGAGCTGGTAGGGGCTACAGGCAGTGGCCAGCAGCTGCCAACATCTGGGCAGCTCTCCTGCCCTCCTCCCAGGCAGCTTAATGCAGCACGGCCACCTGAGAAGCTGCTGAGGGGGACATCAGCCCCAGCTGGGCCCTGAGGCTTCTTATTATCAGGACAAACCACTAATGAGCATTGACCTCCCCGTGCAGCGAGTGGGTTCTGGTGGCGCGGTCAGGGCCCGCTCTGCGTCTAGGGAGCCCGCGACGGTCTTTGCGGATGAAACGTCACTGGACAAAATCTCGTCTTACCTTGGTTTACGTTGAAGCCAGTTGTGAAGTAAGCAGCCAGATCCGGCCCAAAACTTGCAGTGGTCAAAGGAGCATTTTTCCAGTCTCTTTGAGGTTTTGTGGAACGTGCCCAGGCAAGGCAGAGGGCTTAAAACTACCTGGCCCGGCATTTCCTGGCATTTCCTGGCCCAGACCTTAACTCCTGGATTGCTTTCAACACTAGAACCCTTGCTTGAACCTGGCAATTTGCTTGTACTCCTTTTTTACTTGTGGTTTTTTTTTTCTTTTAGTCATTGAAATTTTGGCCTTTTGGAGGGAAGCTCAGCATAGTGAGCCTAATGATAAATACGAAAAGGCAAAAAAAAATTGCACCTGCAGGGCCATTACCTTACCGAGATCCATACGTATGTTGTCACAACACAAAATACTTTTTATTCCTGCATCTTTGATCAGGGTTGGGATATGCAAAAGGTGACAATTTCTTGGGCTGAGAAGCCAGCTGCTCTGTTCTTCCTTCCTTCCTCAGCAACACAAGGCCACAAGAGGAGGTCAAAATACTATTATTTTTTTATTATTATTAATCCAATTCTTCAGTGGAAATGGACACTCTTTTTATTGAATCCATTTATTTAATTGCTGCTGCTGGAAAGCTATTTCATGGCCTGCAAGAAGTTAGAAAAGCTTGGATGTTTTCCTTTTTATTGCAGTTTAAGGTTTGCTCAGGGGAAGGATGGTGCACAAGTCTGCTAGAGATCTTGTTTTCCTGCTGCGCCCATCCCGCTCGATGCCCCCTGATACACGGAGGTGACAAAATGGGCATCCTCACCAGTGGGGGACAGCTCAGCATCGCACACCTTGCTGCTGAGGATTTTTTCCTTGGCTCAGAATACCTGTGCCCTGTCTGTCATCAGTCCTCTCTCGTTAAAGCTGGGTTGCTCCTGCCTCACCGATCGCTCCGTGACAGGCGATGGAGCGGCCTGGGGGGATGGCAGCTTTGCTGCAGGTAAATGCAGAGAAAGCCCCAGGTCCCTCCACTTCTATGCCATGTCGAGAGCTGTGGAAAATATTCCAATGTGAGCCTTTAAACTCTGTTCCTGGCAGCACAGAGCTGACTCGGATACAAGTAATCTTCTCAACCTCCCTCTCTCCCCTCCCTGATTACCAGCCTCTGTTAGTTGCTTGCATTTTGGACAGCCAGGTGGGGTAGAGCACTATTGCAGTGATGATTGCAATCGCCTCGAATGACCCCGGTTTCACCCCCAAGCACACAGTGTTGGGATTTATTTTTTTTTTTCCCCAAGAGTACTTTCCAAGCACGGGCCCTTAAGACTGAGCTGATAAGCCTTGCTGAGAGGTGGCCCTGCTCCTGGAGCACCCGTCTCTCCCCGGCCACCCACTCCGTCTGTCTGGCTAATTGATTATTTCCCTTCTGAAAGCCAAGCACTGCCTGCAGGCCTGCTTGGATGGATGCTGGTGAGGGAAGCAAGGGAAAATGAAAGGAAGAAATAAGGTTTTCACTCTGGGCGCTGAAGGCAATTGCCATTTTTTTTCCCTTTGAAACCCGAGCGGGAGTTGGCTGGGATCTGTCAAGCTGCGAGTTCTCACACATTTGGTAAATATTTAGGGTCTGATTCACCACTGAATTGCTCTGTTGGGTTTTTTTGGCTGTCTTCAGAGGAACTCCTCTGTCATTGGGATAACGCCAGCCATCTGAGGTCCTCTCTCCTTTCTGTTTTAGCATCTCGCAGTCATGTGTGCCTGTCCTCACAGCCACCCAATCAGGACAGGGAGACGGTGTCGTCGCTGCCTGGCACTGGTCGTGATGGTTGGACATGATGATCTTAAAGGTCTTTTCCAACCTAGATGATTCTATGATTCTGTAGTCACAGGCACCAGAGTTCTTCTCTGACCCTAAATGCAAGATTGGCCAGAAGCTCCAGCCATCAGCTGGTGAGACCCTGGCGTGATGCCGAAGGGTTCACACGTAGCAGAAGGTGGTACACGTGGAGCATCACAGCCTCTCTCATGGGACTCGCCGATGTGCCCCTTGGTGCGTGGTGGGTTGTACACCGGCTCCTGCTGCTGCATGGTGGTCGCTCGATAGCTGCACTACTTGTCTCACTATATCTGGGAGACCTTCGGGGGGGGTGCGAGAGAAGCGTATTTCCCTCCAGAGATGACTGCAGTCAGTGCTTTTCACGCACAGATCTCTGCTTTCATCGCAGGTGGAAGACAGCGTGATGGATGTGTATGATCTTGTGTATGAGGAGGTGAGGAGGAACGCCTCCAGCTTCAGGAGGCACGAGCTGACTGCCATCCACGAAGCGGTAAGTTGTCTTTCAGCCTTAGCAGAACACCTTGCCCTGGGGTGTCTTCCCAATGGTTTCAGCAGGCTGGGGCCGACGCCTGTGCTCTGCCTCATGGATGCAGCAATGCTCTTTTCCCTTGGGAACCAAGTCCTCCAACCTGCTGTGAAGTCTGCTCCTCCCTTCCTACCCTTCCTTTCCCAGGTTTGACCAGCCAGATTATCAGTGAGAGGAAAGGGCCACCACCTGAGCATCGCTGTGTTGTGAGGTCTTCAAAGCTTCCGCACTGCAGCCGATATTTATGTATTGTCTGTCTCAGCATGCCCTCTGCTGTGCTCCCTATCTGTGGTACCAGACGGTGGGTCTACACCTCTCTGGTGTCCCCGGGCAGGTAGAGAGGGGGGCGGGAATTCCACATTGTCCAGCAGAAATACCAGGACTTGGTTATTTCTGTTTATCCTTGAGCCTATGGCTGAGGAGTACCAGAGGCTACGTGGGCTCTTGCAATGCTGGAGGCTGCTAGCAAGCTCCCCAAAACCACCACCCAGGATGCTGTTGGCACAGGGCACTTCTCTGTAGCTCAGTAGGTGGGCAAGGGGGGGTTGCCCAGAGCGCAGGGAGGATGCTTGCCCTCAAAGCCACAGGAGATAAATGAGGACATCCCCTGTGGTGAGAAACTCCCAAGTCCCCGCTGAGTAAAGGAGATGCTGTCTCCTTGCACAGCAGGGCCTGTTTGGTTAGTGAGTTCATTGCACGCAGCAGAGCTGGACAGGAAGGTCATCTCCTCTCGCCCTGGTTCCAGGCACCTCCCATGCAACTCCCTTTATCCTTCTGTGGTTTTGGAAATCATTGTAACAAGTACTTTCTGAAGCTGTTTTCATCCGCGCTTCTCAAAATGCAGAGAAGGGCAAATGTTTCTCCTTGCAACAATGGTGGTGGCCCCCAGAGCCATGACCAGGTGTGGTGGTGCTTGCTCTGCGGGGTTGCGGAGCAGCATGCCCAGAGTCCCCTTTGGCAAGGAGAACCAGGCATGATACCCAGCTTCATCAGCCATTTATTTTAACAACCTGGATGGAGAAACAGTCCTTCTACTCCTTTCCCCACTGCCCCCCTTCTGCTAGGGCTCCAAGCTGGCTGGTGTCCCCTGGCTATAGGGAACCAGCTCCGCAGTGGGTGTTGCTGGGGACTTGCCCCAGCCCGTGACAAGCACTGGAACCAGGAGTCTGTGCATCCCTGGGTTTTCCAGAGTTGTGAGAACTGAGAGCTGGTGTGACCATGGAGGGAGGGCTTGGCCCTGGCCCCAGGCAGCAGTGCTGGAGGAGCACGGGCAAGTTTGGGGCCATATCCATCCACCTCAGAGTTTAATCTCCATTGCCACAGCTGTCGGTTGCATACTGATGTACTTTGCTCCCTGCAGCCCTGGTTGTTGGGCCCTGCCTGGGGCAGCAGGGAGGAGGGGTGGCCCATCACTGATGCCTCCTGCTGCAGCAGTGGGCAGCAAGCGGGCAGCCCTGGTGGGGAGCTGGCAGACCTCTCCCTCTCTTCCAGTTCCTGTGCTGTGGGAAGCGCTCTCCGTTCGGGGACACGGCCAATGTCGAGCGCAAGACGTGCCTGTCCAGCCAGGTGCGTGATGCAGGACAGGTAAGGGAAAGGTTTCTTCCACCCCACCATGGGGTTGTGCCGCTACTCGCTAATGGTTAAAACGTCACTGGTGTTTAAATGCTAATGAGCATTGTGGCTTTTGCATGTTCGGAGTTGCTAGGGTGGGGGGTTGTTCTGTTGTTTCGGTAAGGAAGCAGCTTGCTCGCTGGAGGAGCCCCGGTGGATCAGCAGATCTCAGACTTGCAGATGCAGTTTCCTTCGCATCTCTGAAAAGCCTTTGAAGTGCTTGTGTTTGCAGCCTGTCACTTCCCTCCAGCTTCCTCCTCATCTCTTGCCTCTTCTGAGAGTGTGAGATATCATGGGCATGTGCCTGAGCTCAGGAAAAAAAAAACCTGTTGGACTTTCCCCTGTGACAGCAGTTTCTGAGGCTTAAAAAGTGTCCCACTAACAACAAACGTGGAATTTGCTGCAATTCCTCTTTCCCAGGGTGTTGAATAGGTATCAAAATGGGAAACTCATGAAGCAGGGTGGCGATGCCCAGCAGCAGCTTCATCAAGTACACTTCATTCCTCCTCTTCACAGTATCTCGGTGAGGCCGATGGAGAAGCTAGCAGCACAAGATTGGTGTGCTGAAGCCACAACATGGAGTCCGTACCCTCTGAGCAAATCTATTGTGATTATTTTTCTTCCACTGGAGCAGCCAAATCAGCTGAAGTGGCTAAAGCTGCCAGCATCAATATGTGTGTTGTCCCTAGGAAAAACAAAACCATGTTGCTACAGCTATACAAAAACATAGTTGTCAGGCAAAGATGTCAAGTGCTAATGGGACGCCACGATGAGCAGGCACGCGTCAGTCCACGGGGCGGTGTTTCAAAGTGCTGCCGCCGGGAGCATCACATCTCGAGGCAGGGTCCAGCTCTGCTCAAAGAGCAGGAAGGGAGAGCAGAGCAAAACCGGCACCGTGGGGGTGACTTCCCCCCTGCTAATGGCTCGCATTTCCTCCGGTGGTGGGTGGGAGGATGCGTTTGGCAGTCTGGGGAACCGCGGTTTGGTAGTTGCAGTGCATTCACTCCCTGGCTTTGAGCAGTCTTACCTCACTCTGCAAATCACTTCTTCAAGGGCATGCTCTTGCATTTTTGAAATGGCTCTCTTGGCCGACGCCTCCTGGATTTCCATGGGGCCGCTGGCATACTTAAGGCTAATGTGTGTTAATGCTTGTGATGCTTTGCAAAGTTGAGCTGCTTGTGAGTATCTTTGGAGAATGTATTTAGCGTTACGGTGTGCTCTGCTTTTCCATCTTTTCCTTTTCCTCTTTCACTTTTCCATTGGGTGGAAAGGAAAAAGTTTGTGCGTGACCACATTACCTTGTTCACACACATCCCCCACAGTCCAAAACTCATCATACCAAGAAAATCACAGGCATTTTGTCAGAATAGAAAATAGACCGCAGGTGTTTGTCATCCCAAGTTGCAGCAAGCAGCAGAGAAAAGGGAAGCTGCCCATGGGGTAGCCCAGCTGTGCAATGCTGCAGCCCCCTCTTGCCTCCCTTCCTTTCTGGGGTTGTGGCAAGGGCTGTTGGGGGGGACGAAGCCCCGCTCCCCAAGCTGCTGCTATGCTGCAAGGGCTGTCTCTCTCCTCCCAGGACTGCCTGCAAGAGATCCAGGACTTTCTGAAGAAGCACATGGACTTTGTCTCCACGCTCCTGGGCATCACCATCGGCTTCACGGTAGCTATGTCTGTTCCTTCACATTTTGGTCCCAAGAGGCAGGCTCCAGCGAGGAAAGCGCGTTCTAAATTAGCCCCCAAGAGGCTAGGGTTTGGGGTGATTTACGAGATGGGCAGCAGGGAAACAAGCAGTGGTGGACACCACCATGGAAATTAGGAAAGGGCCAGGCCCTGACTTGGCTAGGCTGATGGATGGAGGGGTTTTCCTGCAGGAATAGGCTCACTGCACAGTTTGTCTGCCCAAACAAGGCGTGGCAGCAGGGAGCAGTGGGAGTGGGCTGGAGCAGTGTTTGCATTTCATACACCTGCATGTCTTCTCCTGCAAGCGAGAGGCCATGTCACCTGGCGCAGGGCTTGCGGATCAGTTAGGAAGCCAGCAACAATTGCAGAAAAGGAGATACAGTAAAAGCTCCGTATTTTAGGAAACTTGCTGCCTCTCCTTGCCCAGCGCTCGCTGGCTGCCTCCCAGCTCAGCCTGGGAAGTAGCTGTGTGCAGCCGGAGCTGGAAGGTCTTGAAAGCTACTGAGCACCAGCAGTGGAGCTGGAGAGCTGTGCAGGAAGGGAAGGTCTCATCCTAGCAGTGACCACTAAAGAACCCAGTCAGGTCCATCTCGGGCAGCAGGTGGGTGAAGCACGTGCTCATGAGGAGCAGGCTGCAAAGGAGAGGAGCAGAGCGTGTTGCCTGGGCTCCCAGGCGCCGCCTCTGAAGGAAGATCTTGCAGAAGGAGGGCTAAGATCTTCTTTGGAGGATGGCTTGTGTAGAAAGGGTCTGTACTGAATTTGTGAGTCTTACTTGGGGGAGGACAAAAGAAAATTAATTGCTGCGAGAGGAGCGTGTCCTTCAGTGGTGAGGGGGCTTGGTGGCTGCATGGGGACAGTCCCTTCGGTGCTGGAGAGTGCTGCCAATTAAAACAAGCTTGCTTGTATGAGTGGCCACCCACTGCTTGGCAGAGGTGCATCACTGTCCTTGCCTCTACATGAGGGCCTTGCGTGTGTGATGAAGCATGCCAGGAAAGGGTACACGCCAGGAGACCCATTCCTTCATCACCAAGGGAGGTTTGATCTGCTCTGGTACCTCCCTGCTGCTCCCCAGCTGGGGTGACCTTTCCTGACTCAATGTGTCTTTGGAGATTGTTTTGCCACTTGTGCCCACCTGGGCACAGTTATGGGTTAGAAGGCTCTTCTAAATAAAACCCAGAGGAACAAATACTTCTGCATTTTATGCTGTTAGTAGTGAATGAGGAAAACCATTGGGCATTGCTGTGGAGGTATAAATGTAAAGTTGTGTGTGAATATTTGGTGTGGCTTTCTAATTTTTCTCAGGTATAGGAGGAATTTCACTGCAGCTATATTCAGACAAAAGCAGGAGCGTTTTTATTATATATATTTTTTTTTTCACAGCTTGATGCTGTGGCTAGATAAGGTGGCTGTCTTTGAAGCGCGTACAGGAGGAAATCTCACTGCAGGGCTCACTGTTGTGATGGCAGGATGCAAAGGGAGAGCACGCTGATGCTATAGCTGCTCTGATGTCACTGTCCCTCGGCCAACGGCACACGCACGCCCCCAGATCAGGCTGCAAGCAAAGGTGCTTGCATGTTAAGGCAGAGCTTGTAGGAAATAGCACCTTGTCAGAGCCCTTGCTCTCCTTCCCTTCCAACCGTGTCACTCCTGATGTGAGATGCACCAGGCAGGGTGTCACAGCGCAGCGGCGCTATCCTGTCCCCTGCACGTGCATGGCAGGGGGTGGGTTTTGCTAGGAGGTTTTCCATTTTGTTGCAGCTTTTGCTCCAAACAATATATAAGGTTTGGGGTTTTTTTTTCTCCCTATATTATCTTCACAAGAGGCTTGTGAGAGGTACAGTTGTTTTCATAGAGGAATGCTTTGTGGCAGGAATTTGAAATCTGAATTTCCTGGTTTCACCTCATTTCTTGGTATTTTTAGGACCAGGTTTGAGCCATACCGTGCTAATTCCAGTTGGGTGCTTTAACTGCATGTTGGGGTTTTTTTTTTTTCTTCTCCCATGTTGGAATCAGTGTTCGCCATTTTAGTGGAAAACTGCTCTCCTAAGAAAAATGTGGCATCCTGATACATAAAATGAGAAGTGCCGAGTGGACTAACAGGCAACACTTATGATCACTTATTTGCACAGATGGAACACCATAATCAGTTCAGCATCTAATTGTGTGCCCGCCTCATTTATTTGCTTTCAGGTTTACGGGATGATCCTGACTTCATTCCTCTGGTTCTCCATCCACTTCAGCAGCAACCTGGACCGGAAAGGCAAATACATCCTGCGGGAGAGGTAGAAACCCATCACCTGGGCATCCCTACCAGGTGGGGCCCAGCTCTTGGTGCAGGAAGATGTCTGAAGGTACCCACAAAATCCCCTGGGAAGGCGTTGTGTGGGGTCAGGCGGTGGGACGTGTGGCGTGTGTTTCCCTTTCCTGCGCTACTAGCTGTCGTGCATTTCCAAGCCGGTCAGAGCAGCCGATGCTCTGAGGAGGAGCAGTTCCACACCTTCACCGAAAACAGGCAAGGACTGAGGCACGCACCTGGGCTGGGAGGTGCAGATCGCTTCGCCAGGGGACACAAAGAGCCCCTTAGGACAAAAATGGAGAGAAAAGCCCAGCAAAAATCACAGCATTAAACCGAACTTCTCTTGTGCTGTCATCTGAGCTGCTCCCCGTTGACCCCCAAAGACGTAATGCTTCCAGGAGGATGGCTTTGCATCGCAGCCCAGGGCCGATATTGTGCTATCAGCAAATAGATGGACACCAAGTGTGTCATTGCTGATGGGAAACGTGCTCTCCCAGCCTGGACACTCGTAATGATCGACTTTGGGCACGTTTCTGACCATGCTCGAGTGTGTAGGCGTCCGATGACCAACGACTGTTTTTTTTTTTCCCCTGTTTTCAAATATTGCCAGACTTAAAGAGCTTTTGGTAGAGTTCGGGGGGGGGGGGGGAATCAGAAAGTAGTGCATGAGCTTTGAAACAAATGGCTGGCGTAAGGACGTATCCTGCTGTTACTCCACCTTGCTGATGCAGTACACCATTATTTTTTTAATTCATAGGATTTAGTCAGCCTCCTAGAGCTTGATGCCACACTGATTTCACAGGGGCTCGTTCAACTCCCCAGCCTTAGCTCTGTGTTTATCCAGCTTTGCTAACCCACCGCACCGCTCCGCAATACAAAAGGACTTTGATATTACACATACACGCAGGGCTGAAGTTTAAATCTGTAAGAGAACAGGACTGATCTCTAGCCAGGTCAAACAATACAATGTTCAACTCCACGTCCTCTTTACATCACTTTATCAATAATAAACAGAAATTTAGAACACGTCAATCAGCTGAAGAACTCTACTTTCTGTCTAGCTCAAATGCCAGCTCCCAGGCGTGCTCTGCCCTCATTGCAAGGAGGCAGAGCTGCTTCTGAGCTGAAACCCCATCCTTGCCATAGATTTAGTACCTGCTGGGACCCCTGCCGTAAACTATACGGCTACGTGAAATGTCTGTGGAACCAGCAACAGCTTTCACGCCTCTCCTTCGTTGTGGTTTTTAGCCATGAAAAACAGTGAGTAGATATTTTTTTATTGAGATAAATGTGGAAACCCCCATGCTGGTGTTCAGGATGGGTCCTGGCCCTCAGGCAGGGGATGCTGCATGTGCAAGAACAGCAGTACAGCATACAGCACCTGGTTAGCACTGGGACATGGCTGTAAATACCTTGCACTGGAAAGACTTGCTCTGGATCACAGAATGGCAAGGGTTGGAAGGGACCTCGGGAGATCACCCAGTCCAACCCCCCTGCTAAAGCAGGTTCACCTAGAGCATGTCACACAGGACTTTGACCAGGAGGGCTTTGAATATCTCCAGAGAAGGAGACTCCACACCCCCCCTGGGCAGCCTGTTCCAGTGCTCCGTCACCCTCAAAGTAAAGAAGTTCTTCCTCATATTCAACTGAAACCTCTTCTGCTTCAGTTTGTGCCCATTGCCCCTTGTCCTGTCACTGGGCACCACTGAGAAGAGTCTGGATCCATCCTCATGACATCCACCCTTAAGATATTTGTATGTGTTGATGAGGTCCCCTCTCAGTCTTCTCTTCTTCAGGCTGAACAAGCCTAGCGCTCCCAGCCTTTCGGCTCTGGGGGCGAGGGAAAGGGCTGTTGTTCCTCATCCCACTCCCTTGGAACCGGTGAAGCTCTGCCATTGACTCCACTGGAAGCCGGATCAAGTTCAAACTCTTCCAGAGTGTTACTCAAGCTACCTCCTGGCAGTCACCAACGTGCCTGAGCCTAGCAGGGATTTAGTGGTGATGTGCACTGGCCAACATACCCACTTCCTAGCAGTGGGAAAAGATTCACGTCCATGTATATATGTACTGTTAAGTACATTGCTCTCTGGAGAGAGACAGTCTCCCTTGTGAGCTCCAGCTGCTCTTGTCCGGTTGCTATTGTTATTGCTCAGGCCAGCTGGCAGCTCATGTGACTCATGGTTGCTTCAATAAAGATTAATTTCTTGCAGAAGGCTGTCATTCCTTCTCTTTTCCTGCTGTGCATATGAGGCTGCCTGCATTGATCAGGGGGTTTGCGTCATGGAGAGCCCTCAGTAATTCTGTCAGTGCTGGGAGGAGATATTCCCCAGGCAGATGGTGCCCGCCTGTCCCAGCAGCGTGCCGTAGCACCCGAGAGGGAGAGGATGGCCTTGGTCCTTTGGAGGAAAAGGAGCTGCTCGTCAGCCTTGTCCTACCCTCAGCCAGCCACTGGGGCAGCAGGCAGGTACCTCGCAAGCAGTAATGCAAGCAGGGGTAAGGAAAAAAGCTTAAGGATGCATTTAAGCAATAAAGGCAGGAGTGTTTATAGGAAAAAAACATCTCTACAGTTTCACTTTTTTTGAGCACTATGTAGACAGGTCTTGCCCACCCCTCTGTGTTGGCTGGACAACTGATGATGTTCTGCCCCATCAAAAACCACTGGAGATCCAGCACATCAGCAGAGCCTATGTTATTGGTGGGGGTTACCTGCTTAAGCCTCATCAACTAGTAGAAAAGATCTCTGCTAAAGCTTCCCCACCAGGACTGCTAAAGCTTTAGGTGCCCCTCCTTCCTGGGTCAGTTTTTTAATGTAAGGGGATGAGGCATACACATGATAAAGAAACCTGAAAGGCTATCGTGTCCCCCTCCCCGGCTCTTGTTTCCCTTGAATCGCTTGCAACCACTGAAACGTCATCAGAAGCAAGCACCTTTCCAGCACTGCCCATGTAGATGTGCGTAGCTGCTGTTTTCACACCCGTGTAATGATTGCTGCTGCTTGCGGCAGGGATGAGGACATGACCTGCACCAAACCATCTCATAAGGTGATAATGCACCTGGAGAGTCATCATTTCTTTTTCCCAATAAGCAGGAGACTGGAGGAGTGCAATTTCTTGCCAACCATGGGAATTAAGGTCATTTTTTTGGTAAAAAATACTCCAAAAAACCATAATTAAAAAAAAAAAAAAAAAGCAAAGCTTTTTCTGTGTGTATACACTGGCCATCTCATGATCTTCATTCCCATTTCACCGCTGCCAGGGTTCCCCTGCAAGGAGCAGCACCTTTAATGCGAGTGGGTGGCAGAGCAGTGCCCGGCCGGACGCGCTCTCCTTCCGGAGCTCGTGCTGTGTCTGGCGGCAGGGGCTCCTGCTGCCCTGCGATGGCACCCCGTTGTCATTTTCAGGAGCAGCAAAGCAGATACCTTCGATGACTCAGCTTTTAGAAACCTGTTGCAGAAAAGTGCCGCATTACCATTTTGGTCGTAGTCGTAGAAATGGCAGCACCGGGGGCTGGCTGGCTGGAAGCTGCGAGGCAGGCAGGTGTCGGGTGGGTTTTTTTACACCTGTGCCCACAAAAAATCCCTGTCCTGCAGTCAATGTGCTTGCACTTACCAGTCCGTAATTTGCTGCTTGCTATGGGCGGGTTACAGCTCTTCTGCGACCAGAGCAAAACCCCAGGAACCTATTTGTAAGCACCGACAAGATTTACCCAGTGTTGAAAAGAGTAAGAGAGAGATTTTGTTGGGTTAAGAGCATGCAGTTGAGCAGTGGGGATACAAAGCCAGCAGCCAGGCTAGGAAACACCTGCAGACCCGCTGAGCCTTCCCGGGGCTTGCACAGGCAGAAGCCAGCAGTTACAAGCATGTCAACACTCCAACTCCAGTAGGAAAGAAATCCCTATTTATGTAGGCATAGGCAAGAACAAAAAAGAAAATCAAAGAGATACCAAAGGTGCAAAGTTAAATATTTCATTGTGAATTGGCTCCAATTAGTTGTCAGTTAAGCTCCAGCAATTATCAATTAGTTCTGCTAAGGCCAGCTGGGCAGTGGCAGATTGGCCTCTATGGGTTGTGCTCATGTGTTACCCTTTTCCTTTTATTTTAGACAACCCCCCCAGCTCTAACTAAGGGTCTGAGAAGAGGGAGCAACCTCAGGCCAGGCAATTACCCACAGGTAATACTGGGGAGCATCAGTCTGTGCTAGCAGCTTGAAGCCTTTTGAGCTGCTCTCCATCCTTCATTGCCCACGCGCCGCTTGGGTCCTGCTCTGCCAGCGTGAGCATGAATCTCCCCAGAGGCTTTATGTGGGGCTCACCGTGTGCCCGGGGGTGGCCCAACCACAGCTTGCTTACAGCCCATGGGAGCCTTCCCAGTGCCTGCTCCGAGGGCAGCAGATGCCGCTTTTTCTCATGCGGAACTGCAGGTGAGCAGGGCGCAGCCTTGCGTAGCAGCTGAGGATGCTCAGGGCTTCTGCAAATCGGGTTTTTCAGTACCCTGAAAAAAACTTGAGGACCTCGGAGCACTTGTGAAAAGCCCAGGTTAAGCAATTTCCTGACTCTCTAGAGGGATTTGGTGGTGAGGACAGTGGGAATCTTTCAGCCTTGTGGTGTGCTGGCTTGGCTCCAAAATGCGTTGCTGTTTCCTGCCCTACTAACCGCGTGTCTGCCAGTTCCCACTGCTGACAAAGCCCAGCTTCCTCATGCCACAGCCCCCTTGCTGCGCAGCTCCGGCTCGCGCCTGCAGCGAGCTCCTAGAGGAGACACTGCTGGGCGAGTCCTTCCAAAGCCTTGCAAGGCGGTAAGTTTGGGTGGACCTTTGCAGCACTGGGGTGGGAAGGAAGCCACCTCCTGCCAAGGTAAAGCTGCGTTTCTGAGCTGCAGACATAGGAAATGGTTTTTTGAAGAAACAGTTGATAGACATAGCTTTTTATAACCAGGTGCAGAAGCAATGCATTTGCAAAAGCAGCTCTCCTCTAGAAACACAGCCAGAGGTGGTAGATGCTCCACGCAGATTCCCGCCAGCACAGCCGGAGGCGGGTAAGGTCAGAAGCTGCTTTGAATACACGGTCGGCTCACACATGCCCTACCACTGTCACATGAAGTGTCACTGCAGTTCACTCTTTTAACAAAATACTATATCGGGCTGAAAAGGGATTTTTTTCTTAACCGTGTAGTTCCTCTTCTGGGAGGCTGAGTGACCGGCAGTGAGCATCAACCTCGTCTGCTGAGAGACGTAGCACCAGGTGGGACGGTGGGGGCGAGCACTGGAGCGAGGAGGGGGAGCCCCGGAGCTGCCTCGGAGGGTGTTTTGGAAAAACACATGTGGTGCATGCTTTGCAGTGACGTGCGGAAAACGGACTCCACAATCTGTAAGATTGTAAAGTAGGTATGTTTATTCAGCGCTGGGCAGCACGGGGGGTAGTCCCACCAAAGTCGTGCGCGCGTGTGTGGTAGCTTGCCTTGAAGTTCTACGACAGTGTTACATATACATAAGATTCCCAAATACACCTATACATATGCATGACTTGTCCTTGCTTCGTATTAAAATTAGCCCCAAGAAGTCGTTTCCATAAACTCCTCCCAACTGTGCTTGCACAGTGTCTCCTGGTGGTGGTCGTGGGGGTCATGGGGGATGAAGGCCGATGATTCCTCTTCGTCACCGCTAGTAACCCCTTGTTCTTGCGCAGACTCAGTTGCTCCTTGGCTCTTGTCCAAACTACAGGGTCGGTTTAGCTGGTTCTCAAGGCAACTTCTCGGTTCTTATCAAGAACTTGTACAATAGACAATAGTGAGAAGATGTTGCTTAAAACCGTGCTCTACTAGGATCCCCTTTTTGGCAGCTTTCAGCCGGAGCTGCCAGGCCCGTAACTGGCCGCAGGCCTGATGGGGAGGCTGCCCCACGCTCTGCCGGGCTGTCCCTCTCACCCCCAGAACAAATCCAGCGCTATCTTTAGTCCCCCAGCATTTTAGGGGTCCGTCAAACAAATTAATGCCCGGGGCCAATCTGCATGTCTACCACTACCAGGGGGGCATGAGGAAAAAACCAAAACATCTCTTTATCTGGAAGAGGTACAGGGCGGTCGCTGAGCTTGTGAGGAATCTGCACATCTTGGGAGAAATACTTTCAGCCAAGCCCAGCGGTGCCCACCCACAGCTAATAGCCTCCTGTCTACCAGATGCTATTCCCTTAGACTCCAGCAAGCAAAAAGGAAAGGTCCTTCCCTGCGTTTTGGCTGGGATGATGCATGTCCCTGTGTCGCTGTCCCTGAGTCGCTCTCCCTGGAGACACGGGCAGCTGGCTGGCTGGGTTGTTTATGTTATCCCAAGGCAAAATCCCCTCTCCCTCCCCTCCGGCATCACTAAGTGCTATTGTTTAACCCCCGTGTGCACCAGCTTGCTCACGGATGGGCTCACTTTCTTTTTGGCCCCGTTACATCAGCAATAAGCTATCCTAGTCTTTATTCACCTACCGATGAATTATACATTGATTATACAACAGCAGCTCTCTGCATGGATGGGCTGGGCTCTCGCTCTCCCACGTGGCATCACGCAAAGCGCAGCTCAGCCCAGCTGCGGCTCGGCCCTCCCTGATGCCCTGAGGAAAATGAACGTTCACTTTCCGGGCTCGCAAGCAGCAGAGCCTGAGCTGAGAAGACGGAGCGTCTGGGCTGGATGGGGAAGCACGCTCGGGTTTGCTCTCCCTCTGCCACAGCTCCGGTGGGAGCTGACGCTGTCCTTCCCCACTGCCCCCTGCTTTCCCCTCCTCTCTATATAACCTGACCCATCGCCATAGACACGTTGACATAAATATTTAAAGACGGCAGAGAGACAGACCCCGCAGACGGGAACCGTTTGCTGAGTTCATTAGAAAGAGGAACTTCAGATGCAGCTACAGGTCTCTGCTTGCCGCATCCTGGCCCAAAGGCTGCGAGGCAAACGTAACCCCCCCGGGGTTATCGGTGCTTCGGCTGAATTTGCAGAGCTGGGCACAGGGATTTTCGGATGAGCAGCACCCACAGAAAACATATTCTGGAGAGGTCCCCTTAGATATGTGGATGAGGTTCTTAATATTATTTTTTCTACTCAAAATGAAGGCGTTGGCTGGCTCCCCAGGGGCACAGGGGGGCCTCTCCTGAGGCGATGGAGCCCTACTTTCCCACTGCCATAGGCCAGCCTGTGCCCTGCCGCTTGCCCTTGCTCAGTCCCTGCCTTGAAAAACTCCATTGTGGGGTGTTGGCAGCCTAGGAAATTATTCTTACATGCTCTGGGACTATTAGCCTCCTTTAGGATAGATTTCTGAGCTTCTTTTCATGCAGCTCCAAAATGTCCTATTTAAAGATTTTTGGTGATGCTGCTGTTGGTTTGGGGTTTTTTTTACCACCACAGGTAAATTGGAAATCTAAGCTATTTCTGTCATATTTCCCACAAGAAAATAAGATTAAGTGGTTAAAAGCTAACTAGGACTTCACCCGTAAAATGACGTTCATTTTATTCCCACAGTTTGTCCATCATTTTTGCGCTGGCTGGGAGGAGGGCAGGGGGGTTGCCACGCAAACCCGAGCCACGCAGCCTGGAGTACCACGTCAGCGGCCATCCCGCAGTCCCCAGCAGGTGAGGGACTCCCATCTGCTCTCCCAAATCTCCTGGAGACCCTGGGTGTTCGGATGTTTAGAGCCTGCCTCAATGCTCATCGTTTCACACCCCTGGTCGCCAGCCCTCCAGGCGGAGGTGGGAGGTGATGAGGATGACGGTCTGTCCTCTCCTCTCATCACTCTCCATCGCTTTCTATAAAACACAAGGGGTTTTAAGGTGGAGCTGCTGGAAGGCTGGCAGGCATCTCCCCGGGAGAAGCAGGCTCGAAGTCCCGGGGACTGGGCTTGCCGAGTCCTGCTGGGAAGGGATGGCCGACCAAAGCCGGGGCTGGGAGGTGGCTCAAGCCGCGTTGGCTCCAGCGTCCCCCGGTGAATCATACCCATAGAGGTCAGCTGCACCAGAACCCGCCAGCATGACGCTGGCTTTTAGAAAAACAGGTTCACAGAAACCCCCCGACAACCCAAGCCCAGCAGACAGAGGAAAAACACCGCAAGCGCCTCCACTCGCTGCTGCTGCTTCGCTCTGCCTGCAAACCCAATTGCAAAAGCAAATTCAGATGGCTGCTGGTGGGGGGGTGCAGGGGGATTTTTTATTATTTTTTTTTTTCAACTTTTTAGAGTTCACTTTTTTCTTTCAGTGATGCAAGGCTTGGGAGGGAGGGAGCTTCTTCACAGGCCTGCCTGCAGCTGGCTGCTCTGTAAACGACTGTGCGTTAGCACCAAGCCCTGCCGAGCGCTCAAACTGAGCCCATCCTCCTCAAGAGCCCTATTCATAGCGCTTACACTCAATACTGGCATGTGACACCGCCACATGAACTGAATTTGTGCAAATTAGTTTTACTTATTTATACAGCAGCATTTTATAAAGAGCTGATAAAGCCGCTGAGAGTCGTTGAAACGCAGTTCTGGTACTTCATGGACTGTACAGCAAGTGGTACAGCATGACAAAGGAATATACAACCTCTGAAAGCACCAGTAATCTTGGGAAACAGTATATGTTATCATGACACTCTGCCATCGTGCTGGGACTTTTTTCCTCCAGTACATTAAGGTCAAAGTTTTCAAATGTACCCAGCTGAGCTGCGTAAAAGAAACACAGGAGAAGCAAAAAACACCTTGGACAAAGCTTGAAACCCTTTTTCGCTTCCAAATTTTGGAGAGGGTATGGCCAGATGGGTGAACCCAGTTTACACTGCAACTTGGAGCTACTCGATACAGGAGGTGGTGGGGCTGTGCCCCTGCTCCCCCTGCCACAGCCACATCTGCACCTGAACCCTGGCCAGAGCCACATCTGTACCTCAGCCCTTCCAACACAGCCTGAAGGAAGGTCCCAGAAACAGGACTGAGAATGTTTATTTCTCAGTTTCCTTTTTTTTTTTTTTCCCACTTACCAACAGAAGAGGGGAAAAAAGGGAGAAAGCAAGAAACGAAAAGCAACAGTGACAAAAAATGAAAGCAATCCTGAGCTCCCTGGAAGCAGATTCAATGCCAACTTTGTGGCAGTGATTGCAGCTGGGGTTGCCCGCTCTCCAGCGCACAAAAGTTGATTTGAGAGTCGTTTTCCTTTGCAGCCAGCTTTCCACTGCTGCTGAAGGCCTCACTGGTTTGCAGCTGGTTCCTTCCTCTCCCTCACACAGGCTCTCCCAGCGGCACCTTCGAGAGCTTTTCTGGAAACAGCCACCTACGTGCATGAGAGGCTCCTTGGTTCATGTAGCCTCCCATCTTCAACCTCTCTGTTTGGTTGCTGGGGGGAGCGGTATTTTTGTTTTAATATTTATATCTGGAAAGGATGAAGGCGCAGAAAAAAAGATGCTGTGGGATGCTATGATGTAGCAAGTGAGCAGCTTTGGGGTCCTGTCGTTATCCTTCAGATTGATGAGCAGGAGCCACACAGGATTATGGCTATTGCCATAACCAGATGGCTCGTACTGATAATTTGGGACAACGGTTACAGGCATAAATAGCCTTGTGAACCTCCGGGTTCGTTGGTAAGGCTGGATGAGTGCATGTGGCTTAGAGACAAAGGGTTTATGCATCCGTGGCAAGCCTGCAATTGGGGATGTACTCAGCATAAGTAACTGGGAACGGGGCCAACTTCTATTCATCCCCAGAGCGCCAGGGGCTGTTGCTGAGGGGCAAAGAAGGGTTTGATGAACACAAGGGAGGGCTGGACCAACTCATCTCTGAGGGCAATGGGATGATTTTGGAACAAGTTGACTCATTTTTCGATGTACACGTGTAGGAAATGTGTGCTTACCTAACAGCACA